CTCTCTCTCTCCCTCTCCCTCTCCCTCTCCCTCTCCCTCTCCCTCTCTCCCTCTCTCCCTCTCTCCCTCTCTCCTTTCTCTCTCTCCCTCTCTCCCTCTCTCCTCTCTCCCTTTCTCTCTCTCCCTCTCTCCCTCTCTCCCTCTCTCTCTCTCCCTCTCTCCCTCTCTCCCTCTCTCCCTCTCTCTCTCTCCCTCTCTCCTCTCTCCCTCTCTCCCTCTCTCCCTCTCTCTCTCTTCCTCTCTCCCTCTCTCCCTCTCTCTCTCTCCTCTCTCCCTCTCTCTCTCCCTCCCTCTCCTCTCTCCCTCTCTCCCCCTCTCTCTCTCCCTCTCTCCCTCTCTCTCTCTCCCTCTCTCCCTCTCTAACTCTCTCCCTCTCTCCCTCTCTCTCTCTCCCTCTCTCCCTCTCTCCCTCTCTCCCTCTCTCCCTCTCTCTCTCTCCCTCTCTCCCTCTCTCCCTCTCTCTCTCTCCCTCTCTCCCTCTCTCCCTCTCTCTCTCTCCCTCTCTCCCTCTCTCCCTCTCTCCCTCCCCCTTGCTATGTTACTATGCAATATCATTCAAATTTGGCCTCTAACAACATAAATCAAAATAATGATAAAATACTGGAAGTTTTAATCTACGGATATTTAACTCGACTTTCATAAGGAGTGAAAATTACTCTCGAATTTATGGATGATCTAAAAGTTAAATAAATAATGAATAATAATTTGAATAAGTAAATAAGTGATAAGTTAATGAATATATAAGTGAAAGTGGCAAGTTAAGAGGCAGTTGGTTTACGTATGAAGTAGGTAAATAGATAAATAGATAATGAGAAGAATAGAAGAATAGGTAAAAACATACGGATGCATGGGAGATAGAGAAAATTAACGATTCGGGTAATTAATCAAAAGATAAATAAATAAAAAATAAAAGATAAAAATAATGAAAAAAAAGGCTAAGAAAGAAACAAGTTAGCAAGGGGCGGGGAAGGGAGAATGGGGGAGATAGGAAGGAAGGCGAGAATAAGAGAAATTTAAGAGAGAAAGGAGTGAATAGAGAGGGGAGAGAAGGAGGGGGGGGGGGAGAACAGGAGAAGTGAGAAAGAAGGGAAAGGGGGAGAGGTAAAGTAAGACAGGAGAACTAGAGAAGTAAGGGAAAGGAAAGAAGAAGAGAAACAAGGAAAGGAAAAAAAAAACAAGAAAAGTGAGGGGAAAGTTAGAGAGAAAAGACAAGGAAGGAGAGATACGAAGAAGAGGAGAAATGGGGAAGAGGAAAAGATAACAAAAAGAGACGTAAGAGGGGAAAGGTAAAGATAAAAAAAAAGCTGGAGAAAAGCAGAATAGGGGGGGGAGCAAGAACGCACATAAACACTACCTTCACCCTATCTGTACCCTGTGACCCTCGGCACGGGCAAACACACCGACAAAAACACTGCTACTTTTCGCGTGCAAAACAAAGAGTAAATTTGCTTTAAACTTTTTCTAAACAAAAAAGAAAAACAAAAAGAAGAAAAAAAAAGAAAGTTACATTTCGTGATCTTTTTACAATTATTGTTAAGGATAATGATAGAGATCCCATTCTCTCGAACATAAAAATCATTACACCTTAAATACAAGGGCGACTACTGTTGCTGCTACTGATAATGACAGTAATAATGTTAACAATAATGGTAATAACAGCAAGAGAAACAACAAAAATATAACATCATTAATAGTAACAATAATAATGATGATTATAATATTGATGAGATTAATACGGCTACTGATAATATAATAATAATAGTAATAATGAAATTGATATCAGAGGTTATTTATATAATAATGACAATAGCAATACACACAATAATAGAAATTATGTTAACCATAAAGATATTAAACGCAGAAAATATTTTGCACTATTTCCGTAACGCAAATAACATTTACACGAAGCCGAAAATTCGACAAATCTACATAACATTTCAGGACAAACTTTGTTCAGCTGTTTTTGTGAACATTAAACATGTTATTATCATAATCATTTTTCTAACGTTTGGGGATAAAGTTAATACTGACAACAACTGTGTTTTCAGGACGTTTAGATATTAAAACATGGTCTCATATTGTTATGTATCATTTTCTTCTTTAATAATTTAATTTGCATATCGTATTCAGCTTTCAGGTTTTATCCCCTTTAATTCCTCTCTAGAATATAACATGTCAATTAAATGTCTTTTTCAGCCCTTTGTCTTTGATTTTATGTACTCTGCAACTGAAAATGAAAATTCTAGTGAACTGATAGATAATCTGTATGATCTTCTGAAGTCTCTAATCCAGACAAGTTAATAAAAAACGTATTATTTTAATCCTAATCTCGAATATTACTTAATTTCAACAAACAAAAATCCTAAAAAGTTTATTATTTATTACTGAAGTTGTCATTGATGCTGTGTGCTGACACTCACAAGAAATAAACTGTGAACTATACTTAAATCACTTTTTTTTTTTAATAGGATGCGGTAAATCATACATTCGGGAAAAAATATCGACTTTGATGTTTCTGTGAGTTGTAAGAAAAACAAAATCCCTTTGTATCTGTTATTAGAACATACTAATAACAGAAATATACATATTAATGATTATTGTTGGAACGGTATTATCAGCACTGACTGTAATACGAATGGCATTAGTAACAGTAAGAGTGATAAAGATAATGTTGATAACAAGAACACTGATACTCAGGGAATTAATACAACACTAGCGATAATGAAGATAATAATGAAAGACAAGATGTCCCATATGATAAAAATGAAGGTGACGTTGACGACGGCGACGACAATGATGATGATGATGATGATGATGATGATGATGATGATGATAATGTTATTTCTAATAAGAAGAACAATTATAATGTTAGTAACAATAATAATGATGATACTAACAGTAAAAATAATGATAACGTGATCGAGTGTTACCCCTGCGCCCAAGGGCACACTACAGCCTTCACCTAGTGACTGTGGGCCCATTTCAACTATACCAATTTTATCTAAAGTTATTGAATGTTTCCTGGTCGAACGTCTTTCTGCATATTTGGGGCCGTTACTTCCAGAAACACTCGGTTTGGTTTTAGAAACCGACTCGGCTACAATAATGCATTGCTTCTGTTGGTGCATGGAATGCAGTCTGCTTTAGATGAGGGTCATGAGCCAAGGCTTGTTTTTCCGGATTTTACTGCAGCTTTTGACACTGTTAATCACAAGGGTTTGATTTTTAAGTCGCAGTCTGTTGGTGTTGGGGGGAAAGTTTTAAGTATCTTGACTGAATTTCTAACTGGTAGACAGCAACATGTTCATGTTGATGATAGTTTTATCTCGTATTCCCGTGTGTCTTCTGGGTTCCCTTGGGGTAGTGTTCTTGGCCCTTTGCTCTTCATTTTATATGCAAGCGATACTAATAAAGTGTTGGCATATGCTGATGATACTTCTCTCTATGCTGATATAGTGGTCGGTGGGCCATGACATTAAGTCCTACCAAGACTAAGGAAATGATTGTGAGTTGGTCTAGAGCGCAGTTGCTTCAGCATCCAAGATTGCTGATTAATGGAGTCATAATTACTTCAGTGAATAGTCACTTGAATTGCAATTTAAGAATAAGGCCCGGACAGTTTCATCGCGTTTAGACATCATTCACAAGTACAAGAAGATTTAGGATGACAACATTACTCGTAGATGCTTCTTTTCTTTCATTCTACCTCCTTTTGAGTATTGTTCTCCCGCGTGGTTATCTGCTGCAGAGTCCCGTTTAAGACCCCTTGATCGTTCTTTCAATTCCCCTAAATTTCTCCTGTCTGACCTAAAATTGAACACTGGGCATCGCAGGGATACTGGGGCTCTTTCAGTCTTATAACAGATTGTAACCGATCATTCACATCCCCTTTATAAGTTTTACCCAATTGTTATCAACCTGTAAGAGTTACTAGAAGTTCTATTCAATTCATTGACATTTGATGCAAGTCGATCGTCTTCTGTCTGTTTCCTGAATGCTTTTTCACTGCTATTTGTAGGCTTTGGACTAAATTGCCTTCAGCGATTGTACCTTCTCCGACTCTTGATAATTTTAAAACATCAGCTGATATGCTTTTACTAGCTGATGATTTTTCTATCTTCTCTTTCTTTCTTAGCTGTGTTTTGACCTGATGGTAGAATCCTCATTTTTTTCAGTGTGGCTCTCTAGATGGCTTGCCAAAATGATAATAATAATAATAATAATAATAATAATAATAATAATAATAATAATAGTAATGAAGATGAAGATGATGATGATGATGATGATGATGATGATGATGATATGATGATAGTGATAAGTGAAAGTGATAATGATAATGATGATTATAACAGTAACAAAACAATGATAACGACAACAAAACAATAACAATAACAATAATGATAATGGTAATAACAATCATAATAATAATAATAATAATGATGATAATAATAATAATAATAATAATAATAACAATAATAACAGTAATGATAATATTGATGATGATGATGATGATGACGATGATGATGATGATGATGATGATGATAACAATGATAATAGTGATAATAATAATAACAACGATAACAATAATAATAAAGATAACGATAAAGATAATGATAATGATAATAATAATAATAATAATGATAATAATAATGATAATAATAATAATAGTAATAATAATAATAATAATGATAACAATAATAATAATAATAATAATAATAATAATAATAATAATAATAACAAAAATAATAATAATGATCATGATGACTAATTATAATAGTTATAACAATTATGATTATTATAATAATGATAATAATAATAACAGCAATAATAATAACAATAGTAATAAAAACAGCAATGCTAATAACAATAGACTAATGCTAATAACATAAATAATAATGATGATAACATAAATAGTTAGAACACTAATATAAATAAAAATGATATTCACGATGCTTTAGGCAAAACATCACCATAAACAGTAATCAAAAACACCGACTTAC